GCTTGACACCAACTTCACACCACTATTTTTCCACCGTCACCATCCAAAACAAGAGTAACACATTATGTTACTCGCTTGACACCGCTCCACTCCACAATTTTCCCACCATCACCACCATAGTCAACAACAAATCTCCTTCCTCTCCTTCACGCTAAAGAGAACAAAAAATCAAATGAAAATACGAAAATAGCCCTAATTTTCTAAAACTCATTTTCCTTCAAATTTACTTTCAACCTCACATTTTATTGGGCTAGAAACTTTTATTAATTTTTCAATAGAAGCTGTATCAACTTTTATAAAAATCTGCTAAAATTTAAATTTTTAGCTAAACCAAACATGAGCATAACAAAATTAACATAAAAAAATCAACCAAACCCATATCGAAGGAAAACTTTCTACTATTCTTCTAGCCATTTGACTTTTAATACCAGTCCCTATTATACATCTTCTTCGTTCTTTATCCATAAAATTCTTCAGGGAAATTATGTTCACAGCCAGGTTTGGATAGAGAGAGAGAGTGATCTACAAACCACAACCATAATACTAAACTTGAAATTTCAAATAGCCTATGTTAGATTTAATATGAGCGATGGGAGGATGTCTAGCATGGCGACAAAAGTCGCGCAGATCTTCGTGAACCCCGATCTTTCATTCCCATACCTTTGTGCATGGTGGTGCAATCAGCTTGTTCCTGCTCGTAAGCAACCCAGATTGATGGTGGTGGGATCGAGGTCGGAGTGGGTGTGGTGGGGTTGAGGTCCATGGTGTTAGGTTTGAAATTGAAGAGAATTAGACATTAATTTATGCACTTTTTTTTGTTCAAAATGACATAAATATTTATTAAAAGGCTTATACAATTGAAAATATAGGAACTTTTTAAAAGAAATTATTTAGATATAGGGCAAAAATTATTTTGGAAGAATTTATTTTGGAATAGTAGATTGATGGAGAATGTGTGGTTGAACAAGAAGAAAAAGTTATTGATGTAATGAAAAATATTATTTTATTGAAAAATGTGTGATTGAAAATGAGAATGCAAATTTTAATGTGGCTCGAACATGGGCTAACGATTTAGAAAAAAAAATGTATTTTAACATTTTAAAGAGAGATGTATTCAATATAATTTTCACATTGAAAATTAAGTCATTCACCCTAATCTAGACAGACACAGGATGCGTTTAACCCAGAAAAAAAGGTGCACAATTTTTACCAAGTTATGAGAGGGGAGGTGGCACCAACAAACAATTCACTGGGTCAAGACTCTAAACAGAAACATTAGCCTTTTTATAGGTTTTGCTATTTGTACATCATGATTAATCTCCTCACAAAAGAGGGGGCTCACTTCCAATAAAAAATTCGTGGATTCCCTACCGTGAGGAAGCTATACATCGGGTGTCAACCCTGACACTCCAATATACAGATAGCAAAAACCATCTTTCCATAATGAATTTTGCTATTTGTAGACGGGAGTGTCAACCCTAATTTATACCTTTCACCATGGGGTTCACGTTGAATAAAAAGAGAAATGTTAGATGTACACTTTGGCATGATTAGAGATGGCAACGGGGTGTCCCGCCCCGCGCAGGGCGGGGACTTGCCTCGTTTCCTGACCCCTTTTTTTAATTTTTAATTTTCAGTTAAAAAATAAATTTTAAAATCCAAAGCAAATAATGATCAAACTAACTACATTAATATCTAAAGCAAGCTCTCGAAACAAAAAATGTTCAAAAAAAGTTTTTTATTTTATTTTATTCTTCACAGGGCGGGGCATCCCAGCCCCGCGACCTGAGAGGGGGCGACGAATCCCACCCCGCCCAGTCAACTAGTTCGGGACGGGGGCGAGGCAGGAAAATTTACCATCTCTAGGCATGATAGTCCCCTCACACGAGGGTGGGGCATGAGATTTTAAAAATCGCGCATCTCACCCTAGTGTGAGGGTATTGTCAACCTGAGTGTACACAAAAGTGTGTAATCAGGTTAATTCTAAAAAATATTTGCGAGCCCATATTGTAAGGGATTGTACACGGGGATGTAGTTGACATATATAAAATTGTGAATCCCATCCGAATGTGAGGGTAGTGTTAACCC